TACAGCTCTTCCTTGGTTGCAGAGATGGAAGAAATCCATGGTCACACTCCATGCCTGGACCTATTGACCGTAGTTTGATAGTGCTCACCCAGGGAACAATGCCTGTTGCCTAAAACCTCTGTCCGTGTGCTCACAAACTAATCAGAGATAGCTACAGTCAGCGGTTGGATGGAAGAACTTGAGGAAACAAACTTAGACTGTGATTGCCATCTCAGTTATTTTTTGGTAGGAAGGGGCTTCCAGGTAGTAAGGAATCAGTTCCCCAGAGCAGTGCTCGGCAAAGGGTCTTTTATTTCTTGTGGTTTCTTTTCTTTTCTTTTACTTTTTCTTACCTTGTAAAATTTGTTTCTAAATTAATTTTATTGTGTATGCTTGAGCCTTACAACATGGTGTTATGGAATACATAAAATTAGTAATATGGTTACCACAGTGAAAGACTAACACATTTATTATGTTACGTAGTTACTTTTATATGTGTGACGAGAACATCCAAAATCTTACTCAACAAAAATCCTAATACAACACACTTTTATTAACTGTGATCCTCGTGTTGGACATTTGATGTCTAAAATATTCATACTACATATCGACTACTTTGTATCCTTTGACCTACCTCTGCCCATTTCCTATTTTTATTCTCCACTTTGTATATTGACCTGTTTTTAATTTTCACCTCCCTCTCCCTTTTTTCTTTTTAGATTTCACATATAAATGAGGTCATGTAATATTTTCCTTTTTGTGTTTGGGTTATTTCACTTAAGATCTCTTCTAGTAGAACTCATAAGGACATTTTAAACAGGAGCTTGATCCCAGAAGCATTGTGGAATACTGTCATGGACCAATATCAAAATTACCAGCACATTCCTCCAAGTAAAACCTACACAAAAAATATGCTTGTAGTATATAAGCAAAGTACTCTACTAGACATTCAGCACAATACATGGCACCTATAGGCACTCAGTAACGCGTGGAAGAACAAGAGTTTGTAACGTTAGCAGTCGCATATCTAAAATCAAAGTTAAGAAAGGCTTTGAGTTACCTCAAATGGACATACCTCCAGCAGGCATAGGGAACTGCTGATCTCTAAAAACCAATGTTGCAGGCAGTGTAATACCACAATATTAGCTATCTGTCAATCTGTGCGCGCTTCCATGCTTGCAGCTCTGGTACGGTCAATGAAATGCACATCTGGGAAAGTTAGAATGCAACTTGGCCCACAACTGGTAATGAAATATGAAAATTGGGATGAATCTAAATAGCACAAGGAAATGGGTGACCTGCTGGGTTAGATAGTATTGGAATCATTTGGCTGGTGATGCTAATCAGTCACCATCTTGTTTTGAAATGGAAGCCCAGTAATCAAATAAGTTTAGTAAAATTCCTTGTGTGTACAGAGAGCTAGTCAAAATGCTTCTATATTTTCCTATTAAAGCATCCTTGTGGAAGTCACATTTTGCCTTTCTAATTGAATATTTGCTTACATGTGTGTGACACATCCCTGAGTGAAGCAAAAATCACACTATCTTACTTTTATTTCTGATTTTTATAGGCATTAGAATTCTAGTTTTTCCTTTATCCTAAGCCCCCACTTGCCAGGAAAACGTGTTTGTACTATTGTATGTCTGTTACCTGTATCAGATGGACTATCCAACTCTGAGAATCTTTTCACCTGTGTATAAGCACAACACTGAATTGCAAGCAGAATTCTGGTTAAGCCATTTATCAGCAGCATTTTACCTGAGAAATATTACTTCATTCTCCTTGATTTCCTTATTCAGAAAATGTCCCAAATATGCAGTACCTGTTGCTCACCGGACAGGGTTGTTGAAAGAAGCAATTAGCTATACTAGGATGGAGAAACCACGCAAAGGATGAAAGCAGAGATTTGTTGGAGTGCCAAGCCCCACTTGCGTTACCACTTTCTCTGTGGTCTTAGGCAAGTAACTTGATTTCTAGGCCTTACTCCAGTCATCTGCCCAATGAGGATAATACAAATACCTATTTCATACACTGGCTGGGAAGGTTAAATAACAATGTATGTAAAGTACTGAGTGTCTATGATAGGGGTCATATTTATGAGCACTTCCTGTGCTCCAGGTACCTGATAACATATAGGAAAGTGTACTGCAGGCTGTAACGTTGTGTGGGGGAGACAGCGGCCCAGCTTGTGTGCTTTCATATTCTCCACCTTCCTTCCAAGGGGTCTTGCTTCTCTAGCCCATGGGCTTGTCAAGTGGAGTATTCTTACCAAGGGTGCTAACTTTGAGGAAGAAGGAAGAGGCCAATTTACAGGACCTACTAGTTGCTCCAGAGAGGGAAACCTCTGGAGTAAGACACTGTGCCTGGAAGATCTCTAGCCAAGGGTTGGATTTTGTTGAACCTTAGACCTGCTATGTTGCCTTCTGCATGCATTACTGGTAAAGTTCATCACAAGAATCTAGAACTCTGGGAGAAGGAAAATATGGCCAGAAGGAAGAAGTTAATTAAGCATGTCATTTTTTTCTTCTTCAAATTAGCCTCCATGTTTTAATTGTCACTGCCTTCAACCGAAAGGAAGAAATTACCCCCAAGGCAAGGGGATTGCAAGTTTGAACCCGTCCTGGGAAACTTTGCAACTTAGTGAAACCCTGTCTCAAAATTTAAGAAAACAAAATTTTAGAGGGCCAAGAATATAACTCAGTGCAAAGGTCCTGGCTCAATCTCTAGCACCACAAAAAGGAAAAGGACAAGGAAAAATGAGAAGTGGGAGAAGAAGGAGGGAGGAAGGAAGGAAGGAAGGAAGGGAGGGAGGGAAGGAAGAAAGGAAGAAAGAGGGAGGGAGGGAGGAAGGGGAAATTACCTGTTTTTAATAGAACTACTTTTATGATTGTCAGCATAATTACTATAATTATTAATACCTAAATATAAGTGAATGGTTACAATGGACTAAATTCATTCACTTACTTATCATTACACTAAGAGGAAGATTCTGCTATTATCCATGTTCACAAATTAGGGAATCGAGGATATATCAGAGAGGATAAAATATGGTTCAAACCTTGAATTGTTTGGCTCTAAGCACCTACATGTAATTACTACGTTACCCTCTGATTTACTTAATTAGTGACAGCTAGAGTTTAAACTCAAGGCAGCATGAGTTTAAAACCCATGTGTTATACTTTCTTGTATTCAGAGTGCCAAGGACGGTGAAAATCAGGGAATAGACAACCTATAAATCCCCTCGGAGTATTTGTCAGCCCTCACTAAGATCTGGTAAAAGTTTTCTCCTTTCAAGATGATGAAAAAGATGAAAAAAACCATTGTGTTGGTTTAGTAAAGCAGGGTTTCTTTAACTGATAGAAATATCTTTGTACCCATCTTTTAGGAAAGGCGTTGTTACCTGCACTTTTATGAAAGACATTGGTTCCACTGTTGCTGTAGAACTCTGATGGCCTCCACCCCACACTGACCCTCCTGCTGTCAAGACCCTGGATGAGGGAGGGTGGAAAGCAAGCTTAGGTTAGGTGTAGAGCATCTGTCAGTCTTGGCCTGGGCAGTTTTACCTCTTCCCTGTTCCTCCCCAGGAAAGCCAGCTCAGAACAGGACAACAGGGCCCAGATTATTCACTCAGCACTGCCACAGAAATGAACTTCTGCTCCATTTGTCCTCGTCTCTTTTGAAAATCAAAATAAATAAACATTCAACGTACCAAAGCACAAACAAAAAATTCCCATGTCGTAGAACCCAGAGAAAACTTTAACCTTCTGAGAATTTTTTGGTTTTCATGTATGAGATGTCTTATATTATTGCAAGATCTCTTCTTACACAGTATTTCATATACAAAGAAAGGTTTCTTTAAGATTAATGTAATACATCATAATCAATCCTCTTAAGTGAAAAGATGAAGTTGAGTGCAAAATTGTAACTACAGTTTTAATAATGCATCATAATTAATACTCAAGTGAAAAGATGAAGTTGAGTGCAAAATTGTAACTTTTTAAAAAGTTATCAGCAAAATTATAGGATTTTACTATATAAATATGCTCATTTAAATATACTATGTTAATTACATAACTATAAATAGAGGTTGGATAAAAAGCCTTAATTTGATTTCTTCTTTTCTGTTCTGTCGATGGAGCCTTAATTGCACATAAGAAAACACTTTTTTTCTGAAAACGCAACAGATTTCTGTGACCACTCCAGCAACCTACTCCAGTATAATATCAAACAAATGTCATGTCAGTGCTTATCTATGTGAATGGTTGGGATTGTATTGTAATGAATTATAAACCTCAGAGCAAGCTGCAGTGGGATGTTTGCAAGTTTCAAATGTAGAAACAGATTGGATTCCAGCAGCCAAGGTATGTCAGCCTGGGGAAATCAATCAGAGGGCAGCAAAAGAATAAATTAAAGGTAACCTGGTACTCTTAACACCATGAATTTGTAACTTATCACAGTGAGTGATACACATGCTGATTACCCACCTTCTTGAGGACATGTACAACTGGGTATCCATGGCTGATTTCTAACATACCATCAGTTTATGCAACTGAGGCAATGAAATTAAGGCTAATTTTAATATTCATTTTAGAAAAACATAATTAGAAAGGTAAGATGCTTGATTCAGAACCCAAATATAAACTGCTTTTAGATGACACATAGCTACAGATTACTAATTTATCTGTATGATGAATCTCCTCCGATACAGTGGATAATCCAGAATTGGATACAATTATTTACATATTGAAAGTGGTGAGAGTTATCACATGATGTTAGTTCCAAGTTTTACCAAAGATGTTTTTCCTTGCCAACAACCTTTCCTATAAAGCCTGTTGATATGCATGCAATTTTTTTTTGCTTTTTTCATTTTCCAGTTTTAAAAAAGTACATATCTAGGCATGATTATTCATGTTTGGGGAAAATACTTACTAATTCTAGCCTACAAAGAAGTTAATACTGTAATTTACTCTGTTCCACAGTTCCAAAGGTGATCTCTCTGGCTTTGATTTTCCCTCCTATAGCAGCCATCCACTTTGACTTATGCAAGAGAAATCATTAAGAAGGAGGGTTTGGGACTGCAAGGCCTCAACAAAGGACTTACAGCAACTTTGGGACGTCATGGAGTTTTCAACATGGTGTACTTCGGCTTTTACTTCAATGTCAAAAACATTATTCCCGTCAATAAGGTAACTATTTAATGGATTAAAATAAGAACAGCTTCAGTTGTAGAGTGTTTATCATGCCCCAGTTGCTGTGTGGAACATTTACATCTATTATTCGATTTTATCCTCACATCAGCCTTATGTACTGGGTGTTAATTTTACTATTTTGAATCCAGAAACTGAGGCTTAGAAAGGTCAAATATACTGCCCAGAATCTCATAGTACATAGTGAAGTAGAGAGTTGAACCCAAGCCTGACATAAAATGTATCTACTTGAAGAATGTATCATCTTACTTGAATGCCTTATATTTGCAGCTAATAGAATTTCTATAAACTGTTATTACTTAATTTTTACCTCAGTTACATAACTTTCTCAGGAAGTTGAAATTTTCATATTCTAAATAACTTTGAGCTCATAGGGAAAACTATGAGCCAAAATTTTAAGTTTTGCCTGTATCATAATTTTTGTATCCATGTAGATAAATTAAGTAGTAAATCAACTCTTCGAGGATCATTTGCTTTTGATGAACTATAATGATAATAAATACTACTATATTTTTAATGCTAACTTACCAATACCAGTGAACTTCCAACTTCTACAATATAAAGTAGCATAGGTTATGCTTTTAATTGATAGAACCACAGATTTTCCCCTACCTTGAAGTCACATGCCTATGAAACTGCCCCTGGATTTTAGATTCCAAGACAGGTAGTTCATATAGAAGGAGAGAAGTATCTATTCTTTCTCTGTAGCTCTTCAAAAGCTTGGGACAGAAGGAAATTACACACAATGAAATGGTTATATAAATCATTTATGTAGATGAGTGTATATATTTTATTATATCTATATTTGTGACTGAATTTTAATGCATATGATTTTATAATAAAATGAATTACAGAATGCTAAAAAATCCACAAATACAAACTTCATTTTATAATTAATCATTATACTTAATTATGAAATATTCTGCGTTATTAAAAAAGAGCCAGAAGTCTAGTCATATATTTTATTTTTGGAAGGCGTCATGGTTTTCTAAAACTGTAGAAGGACTTCATTTATCTTACCAGTTTGAAAGCCAACCTTGCTAATAATCTGAACATTATCTTTTATTTCAGTGAAGTGTTTTATTTGATACTGGCCTCTTTATATGAGGCATTCCATAAAGTCCTGGCTATCCTAAGATGACTAAGACATTGCCGTATTTTCAAGGGGCTTCTCACAAAGACCTGGAAAAACCACCTGACAGCCACAGTAAAAATGGAGCACCATATTTAGATAAACATCACATCAGAAGTAATTAGTCAATAATAGTATTTTTTCTAAGCCAGCTTGAAAATGACCATGGAGATTCTGAAACTTGTCTTTTCTATTGGACCAATATTCTAAAAATAAACACTTATCAGACTTCTTATGTGAAATAGATTACCATATTTAAGAACAGATAATTTCTCTAAACTTCAAACTAAGAAAATTTTTAAAATTCAGAAAGATGCCTCTCTTTTGAAATATGTGACTTTCCCTCCAAGTGTATCAACCACTGCACTATTTCCTACCATTCTTCATTTTCACATATAAAGGACACAAGAGTGCAAGTTTATAAGAACAGCGACTTTATGTATTCTTTATTTCGTTGCATATCCCATTGATTAAAATGGTGCCTGGCATATGGTCGGCCCTTAGTAAGTGTGTATTAAATGAAATAGAGAAATGAAGGAAAGAAAAGAGAAAGTAATGAAGGGAGGTTTTTTGTTTGTTTTTGTTTTTGTCTTTTACTAGATACTAAAGGGATATGTTGCATTTGAGAGAGAACCTATATTACCCGATACTGGTTTATAAGAAGCTGGGAGAAAGTTATGGTGAAGGGCTTCGAGCTAGAGTTGACTCCGACCATAATAAAGCAGAATTCCAAAGAAAAAAGAATTAGGCATTTCAGGTCATATATAACATAATAGGGTCTTTATGTTAAGAAAGTGAAATGTTTATTTGGGGAAATGATTCTAAAAATGGAGGTTTCCACATTGCCAGAATAAGTTTCCCCAAGTTGCCTTCGTAGACTGCCAGAGGAGACAGACACATCTGTTGGCAGTAGCCAAGAGCCTGATGAGTTCAGCAGTGTAGAGAGGGTCCCACTGCACGGGAAAACCTCTGGAGAGTAGGGCAGAAAGATACGGAGAGAACTAAACTGTTCTCATTATATTCCGCATCTGTGCAGCTTTTTTCTAATTATATTCACTGAGGTGTCAACCAGCACTTTGCCAAATGAATTTTCTGTTAACTAGCACTTTTGTATCGAGATTATACAAATAAATAAATTCTTACCTTATTAATCAAAATCTTGAGGAATGCTAAAGTATCTCCCAAATCACTATAGATTTAGAACTAATTTTAAATTATGTTACCATTTTAACAAGCTGAGAACTTGTGACTAGAACGCCTCAGTTGCTCACACCCCTATCAAAAGTACTGTATAATAAGGAAGTTTATGAAATATGGTTTCTTGTTATTTTAGTGAAAGTGGAATAAATTCCACTGTAATCCCTTCTGTACATTAATTTTACACTAGCAGGGAAGGCCAGAGTACTGCTTCCTACATATTTGACTATTAACAATTTTAAATCATAAACTTCCTTTGACAGTGCTAAAATATGCCATGTTGGCTCAGAATTTCATTTCTAAGCTTTAGTTTCCAAGACCAAAAAAAAAAACAATCTTGATTTCTTTTCACTTAATGATCTGGGCATTTGGGCTACTTTCATTGGGAGTGAAGGGTATGCTGTGCTTAAAATTTGGGATCAGCAGTCTGAGTGCAACTCCAACACATATTTACCAAATACCTAACAAATACCAGCCCCCGTGCTGGACAACAGTAGATGCAATAATCAGACGCTATCACAGAGTGTACAAGCCATTGGAAGTGACAGACAAAAAGAATAAACAGACAAATCCATACTTACATGTGATGAAGGAGAAATGTTCCCAGTATAAACCTGGCAATCGGGGAAGACGTCCCCGAGGCAGTGGTGTTGGAACTAAAAAAGGAGTTATCATTTAGCAGGCGACAGCAGATGGGCAGCAGCAGTCCGGACATATGGACCATCCAGTGTAACGGCTCTCAAGAAGGAGGGGGCCTGGATGGCTTGGATAAAATGAAAGACAGCCCATGTGGTGAAAGCAAAAGGATGAAGGAAACAATCTGCCGAGGGAGACTCAGGGCTCAGAGCATACTGCTCACTATACAGCACACTAAAGATTCGTATCTTTGTCTAAAGGACCTTCATGTCTTAGTCTACTTTCCATTGCTATTACAGAGTATCTAATACTGGGAAACTTATCAAGGAAAAAGGTTTATTTAGTTCGCAGCTGGCAGCAAGGAAGATTAGGCATCACATCTAGTGAGCACTTGTGCTGAATCATAGCATGGCAGAAAAAAGAAGGTCAAATATGCATGTGCAAAACAGGTAAAGGAACAAAGGGGACCAGACTGTAACAGCCCGTTCTTATGATAACTAACCTACTCTCTCAAGGACTACAGTAATTTTTCTCTGAGTGCAGAGCCCACCTGCCCCAAACGTCTCTCAAAGACCCCACAGCCTCTCAACACGATTACTTTGGCAACGAAATTACAGCCTGAGTTTTGATGGGGCAAACCATCAGCTGGGAAGCCAACAAAAGACTTGAAGTAGAGGAATTACTTGACCCTTATAGCCACAGCATGGAGAATGGATTGCGTGGGAGTGGTAAAGGAAAGGTGGAATGTATATGTGGGAATGTTCTCAGTATGAGATGGTGGGATCTTAGACTATGGTGTTCATGGTGGAGACAAAGAAGTGGGCAGACTTGAGAAATACTTAGAAGATAGAAGCTATAGAGTGTGGTGATTGGATATATGTGCAGGTTGAGAAAACACACAGAAGGAAGAGATGATGCCAAAATTTTTGGTTTACACAACTGAATGACACCATTCAAGGGGGAAGCAAAAAAAAAAAATACTGAAAGAGAAACAGGCTGTGGGAGGACACTACAGGCTCAACTTGGAAACTGTGTCTTTAACTACATTTGGAGTGGCAAAGAGCACCATTGAGTTGGTTGTTGGGTGTGGGTTCTGGGGCTTAAAGGAGAGATGTGAGGTGGAGACAGACACTGAGAAGTGATCAGCCAATCTTGTGGAGAGAATAAGGGCTGCCCCTTCCTGGTTCAGTGATCTTGAGCCAATCCCTCCACTGCTCTGAGCTGCAGGGCTTCAATCTGTAAACTGAAAAGCTATGCTTGTTCTTTCTATTTGCTGAAATTGTTTTGAGGACTAAAATAAATACTATGTGAAGTAGTTTGTGAATGTTAAGATGCCATAAAAGTGTTAAGTGTGGTGGTGCTGATGACGGGGATGGGGATGGGGAAATGGTTAGGATTCAGAATTACATGAGGAATTTTTTCCCCAGGACTATTCTTTTTGCACATAAATGAGCACTGTGTTTTTCTTGCCTAGAACAAAGTCATTGATTTTATGTGTTCTGTAATCTAAGCCTGATTCAAAACTGGGAAACCAGTATTCTTTAAATTTAAACCATAATAAATCAATCCTTTGTGAAGGGGAAGGTATGATAATCATTAAAACATGTGGAAGAACGTCATCGAGTTGTTATAAACCATGATGAGGAAGTGGTGTTCCTTGAAGGCATTATCCCATCTTTGCTGTAGGCTGTCTCTGGCCCTTCACTTTGGACAGTTTGTTTACAAGGTTATTGTTTCAATTCCCTCACCCAGCAATGGGTCCCTCTGCTGTTCCAGGAGAATCTGAGATTTCACCAGCTCTTACTGACATCATATAATTCTAGCATTTTTAATTGAACTTTAAATCTATGAGTGCCTTGCAACATTTTCCATCTTTGAAGTGTTTGATTTTAGAGAAACTGTTTATACTGATTATCTCTGGAGTAGGAATCGGTAAGGGAAAGAGAGAGAGGAAATTGAACAGGAGATTGGCATTAATTTTAAAATAGGAATTCAGAAGAAAATTTACACCTCA